ATATATATATATGCAATGTCTGATTAGTCAAACATTTCAACTCTGTGATCTGTTGGTTATATTGTGCTGTTCAGTCCTAAATATTCATTTAAACGTACGCCTCCAAGCCCCGGTGGTCCAGGTGGGCCGGGGGGTCCAGGGTTTCCAGGTGTGCCAGGTTCACCATCTCTTCCTCGAGGTCCAGGATTTCCCTGTGGAGGGAGGTTAAAAAAGGGAGATTTGAAAAAATTATTTCATGTAATTTCATTTAACTGTATGTTCTGCTGACTTTGTATGAACCATAAACAAGCTTTGAGTTAGGTCCACGTTTACAGTGAATCTGCACATAAACCAATGAAAGTTATTTGTTTAATACCATTAGACATTTAGAGGGTCTCATATAGCTTTTAATATTAATATTTTATATCTTAAATAAACTTTTATCATGTTTTTTGTTTTTTACCTTATCACCCTTAGCGCCAGCTTCTCCTCGGGGTCCCTGCTCGCCTGGGGGCCCCTGAAAAAAGCATATGTTTCCTCATTGTTCACATTATGACAAACACTATTATTTACTACACAGTTCATTTTAACTTGTAATAAGCATTTGGAAAGTATTTGTACCAATATGTATATTTCTGCTTTTAATATAAAGAAAAAAGTAAATGTTCACCATGGGGCCGGCTGGTCCTCTTGGTCCTACAACCTGCAGCGAAATACAACAAAAAGCTTTTGTCAGGTTCCTGTAATTGTTGTAATAAACGATTCTTTATCACCATCTTTCACTCAGAGTCCTTCCCTTTGGTACCATCTGACCCAGAAAACATTCCAGCTTAGCAAGAGGTAGACCCGCTCAATTAACTCTGACAACAATTTCATCTGACAAGATTCTTTTTTTCTAAACTCCATCCCCTCATATTGACCTGAGATTCAGCCGACCTTTCTTCACCCAACATGCACTCGCAGTAAACTTGCTGAGAAGATCTAAGAGGATTTGATTGGGTTCATTATGTCCCTGGAATGCAGACCATTTTCCCTTTTTAATAGAAATTCTGAGACACTACGAGTTAGGATTTTATCAGTGAGACAAGGCCGTGCTTCTTAAAGGAATAGGACTGAAACATCACAGTGGCTTGAAAGATTTCAAATCCACAGAAAAAAAATCTAAAAGATGTGAACTTTATTATTTAAACTTCGTGGAGAACTATAATGTTGAACATCTAAATAATGTGATTCTTTATAATAAAATAAAAGTTTCAGGTAGTGATTAGGGACCAAACTCACATCTGCAATCTCTCCCGGTTCTCCTTTCTGGCCCTGGTTGACAAAAAGAAAAGATTAGATAATTCATCTTGTGTTAAATTTCTTTTGTGTAACACCATCATTGTTGCTCTGACTCACCTTAACGCCTACCGTCTCTGGTGTTACACATGATTTGATGAGGAGACAAAAAAGATCATTAATTGTCACATTTTAAACATGGCTGATTTCAAATCAATCTACTCTGTTCTGGGCATAGACGTCTGCCTAAACCTAGGAGGCTAGGAGGATGCTGCAGAGATCCGACACCACCACTCACCAAACCCAAAAACCATGAGCCCATCCGGATCAGATTAATGAGGCAGGGCAGATAGCAGAAGCAGACAGGAGCAAAGACATGAGGGTTTAGAGCAAATGTTAAATCCTAATAATGTCCAATGAATGAATGACTGGCACTAAAATGAGTTTATTAAACTAAGCATAGCTGCAAATGCGCTTTCTTAAACAATATATATTAAAAGAAGTTAAAAATCAGGAGAAACGTGTGTTTGTAAACTAAAAGGAAATCTCAGTTATGCCTAAAAGGAATCAAAGGAATCAAGAAGAAAAAATACTTTGGAAATGTTACCAAATGTGTTCCAAATTACTCTGATCCTAATTAGAAAAAACAAAACCTAATATCCTATTAATAAATTATGATATGTTTGATGGAATAACTGTTAATAAGACACCAAATGCAGAAAAATGATTCTGAAATTTTAACTTGATCAGGCTCATCTCTCATGGGAAAGTTTTTAAAGAAATATTGTAAATTTGCAGAAAACATTAAGACATATGAATTTAATCTTTGAATTATGACTCAGTTTGTGGTTCAATAACTAAGCTTTGCAGTGAGCAGAGGTCCTGATGGGAACATCTCAGGATCCAAACCTTTTTTTTTTCCTTTTTTTTTGTCATCTGGGTTGTTAGAATCTTGACAGTGTTGCTCATTGTGTCTGCATAAATAACATATAGAGGACCACTCAACGAACCATTCATGGAGACAAAACAACTCATCAAAAAGCTGAAGCTCTAAAAGTTGACGTGGCTCCAGAAATGGTTCCCAGTTCAAAGGTCTTAGCCAGAATTAAACAATGAATGCAAGCAAGAAAAAGAAAAGAAATGTAATTTATTTATAGGTGTGTGAATAAATAAATTACAACCAATGGGGGCAGTGGCATCAGCGGGGCAGATGGGGCAGCATTCTCCAGATGGGATGATAGGGTTGGTGCACTCTTTCATCTCCTCGCAGAATATCTCATCGCACAGAACCGCTCCGCTGTCACACACACAGATACGGCACGGCTCTGGCTTCCACACATCCTTATCATTATACTGCTGGGCGTCATGGGTGCAGCCGCCTGCCTCCTCTGAAGTAACCAGCAGGGGGTGGGAGGGAGGAAGAGCGGGGAGGGGAGGGGTTGTTAGCAGTGATGAGTGAGCAAAAAAGATATTGGGTCAGGGAAGAAGTCAGAGGGATTTATACAAAATAAAACGTTGGTTGAGTTCAAATCATGGAGGTAAGGATTAGGAGGTATGATGGAGGTCAAGGGGGTGGAGTAAAGTGAGGAAGTGGGAGGGGCAACACCAGTGAAGGCGTGGTTAGAAGTTCCATGGGAGGGGCATAGAAGGAAGAAGCAGAAAGAGACAAAAAAACAGCATAAATCTGAAGTTAATACATCAGTCATCATAATTTTGCATGAATGGATAAGATTATATTATTTTTTATTTATTTTACAAATATAGACTTATAAAACTGTACAAAAATCTTAAAACTGAACCTAAAAAAATCTCACAAATATACATCATTAGCTGTGCACACATCTCCGATTTAGAGTATAAAATTGATGGGACTAGATAGAAAATGTTCCACGTCATTATTAAAAGGAATTTTATCACTGCTTAGAAACCAAATTTAACACAAGCCACAGTTAACGGTTGGATCTGAAGACTGAGCTGAGGTATTTCACAGTGCTGACTGAGTGTACTTAACCTGCAGACAAGCCCTGCAGCTCCTATGAATGAACCTCTCTTATAGGAATACTGAGCCCAATTGACAAGCCGGTGCTGTAAATAAACAGAGGGTCCTTCAAAAGAAAAAAAAACTCATCTGGGTCACAGAGTTGTGTCAAGTGCATAGAAGTAAGAAAGGGTGATTTTTTAGGCTATAATTAACATGTATGCAGCTTTTTAAATCTTTTAAAGCATAATTGAAGCATTTGACATACAAGTTTAAAGAACTACTCATAAATGAATCTGTTTAATGAAATATTTTGTCTGAACCTTTGGATTAACATTGATAGAAGTTAGGAAATTAAGGATCTGTGAGTGACAGGATTAAAGCTCCAACTTGCTGTAAACACACCTGATATCCATCGTCTATTGACTCCCCTGCTGTGCACCTTCCTGCTACCCATTGAGCCTTCTAATCTGGGGTCGAACACTGTCTGACTCACATCACCTTTTGCCACAAAAACGCTGAGTTTGCACCTGTCTGAGTCAGGAAAAATTAAACTTTTGTAAAACAGTTAAAACCCGTGTTGTGTCTTCTTGTCCAGCAGGTGTCTCAATACAACCTGGTTCTCCATCCCACACAGATGTACCTTTACAGCCTGACCTGTCCTACTCTGGCAAGAAATTTAAACAAATCATTTGTCCAAGTGCTCAGCTAATGACATGTAAAACAAGCAACCACTGCAAAACTACATTCACTCATAAGCTTAGACCCTTAAAAAAACAATAAGATCCTTTGAAAGTGCAGGTAAAGAGTTTCTAAAACAAACAATGAAGGAGACAGATTTTTAAAAAGCAGTGAACTTACGGTCGTCCTCCTCCTGACATCGAACCACAGATAGTAAAACAACTTGGGATGCTACAAGTAGCAGAACAGTTCTTGAGTCCACAAAGCTGAACATGTCTAAATATTAGACATGCAGGAGATGAAGGGGTGCTGATGGAGACCGGACTTTCAGTCAGGTGCTGCAGTTTTAGGTATGTGTTTTCCTGGAGAATTACAGCACCATGCAGTCAAACCCTCCAAACACTAAGTGGAATCCAACGCAGGGCCCCGGCTGGCACTCTGCACCCAGCTCGTCAGGGCAAGCACTGTGGTTTTATGTCCACTGAGCCTTGGATGGATCTTCGTATATTCCAAAATGCCACTCCTTCCCCAAGACCCCCTATGAGGCTGTAACCTGAACCTTCTCCCCCTCCCCTCTTAATCCAGCTTGCTCCTGATGATGTTTTTTTTCTCTCCTTCCTCTCCTGACCTGTAAGGCCCCGGCAAAGAACTGCACCTTTACTTTCCCATAAATGACATACAGTAGGTCCAACTCTGACTCAGCTATAGGCTACTTCACCAACAGATAAAAAGTTTTGTTCAAATTAGCTCCACACTGTTGTGCAACTCAAATAAATAAGCTCTGTGGCATTATTATCTTCTAGACGTGAATAAATTGTCTATTGCCAATGTTTGAAGGGAAACGTCATCTCTGGCTCATTAAGGTTGAGTCTCATGGATTACAAACAACCTTTACAAATGAACCAATCTGCAGTTATTCCCATTACAGTCAAGCTTCCCAAGAGCTTTAATTAAACTCAGGCCTGAGAAGAACAAAAGTTTGCTTTCTGATTATCTTTTATCAGCACGTCAATATCATCTTCTTGTTCCGCTGTCACCAAAATGCAGATATTTTTCTCCATTCAATCTTTAATAAATATTTTATAGAGTTTATGCAGTATGTGGAAAAATCTTTTTTTTTACAGTCAGACTCTCCAGTAAACTTATTCAGGTTTTCTGAAAGGTTTTCAAAGTTTTTCTTTGGTTGTTTTAGCCCACTCTGCTCAGATTGATAAATCATTCAGGTAAAAAAAAAAGACTGGGTCAAACAATGAAATCATTGTCAATACATAATGGACAACTTAGCAAAGAGCCCATTTTAAATTTGATCTTTGCCTCAGGCAGAGGAGTTCATGAGTTCATGATGGTGGAGTGGGTGATGGATCAATAGATCAGACCCTCATTAATGAGGGTTTTGCTTTGGTTGGTAGAGTAAAAAAAAACAATCTCTCGATTTACTGCCCTGTCCATGTTCCAACTCTCACCTATGGTCATGAAGTATCATGACCAAAGGTCATCCAGGGGGATCTCAGAGAAGAGCCGCTGCTCCTCTGCACCGAAAGGAGTCAATTGAGGTGGTTTAGGCTTCTGATTAGGATGCCTCCTGTACGCCTTCCTTTAGAGGTTTTTCAAGCATGCCCAACTCACAAGAGGTCTCAGAGAAGACACATAACTCATATCTTCTCTGGTGTGGGAAGGCATTGAGGTTCCCAAGGCAGAGTTAGACAGTGATCTGTGTCCTTCACAACCCCACTATAGATAAGCAGTGGAAGATAGAGATCTATAGGCGTTTTGGTGTTAGCAGCTTGTTATGACAGAAAGAACTAGATCCCGGATACAAGCAGCCAAAAGGAGCTTCCTTTGTAGGGTGTTCGAGCTCAGCCTTAGAGATAGGGTAAGGAGCTCCATCATCCGGAGGAAGCTCAGAGTAGAGTGGCTGCTCCTCCACATCAAGGGGAGTCGGTTGTGGTGGTTCAGGCATCTGATTATAGGATGCCTCCTGGAAGCCTACCTTTAGAGGTTCCACTGGTAGGACGCCCCGGGGAAGACCCAGGACTCGCTGGAGGGATTATGTATCCTCTCTGGCTTGGTAAAACCTTGGGGTCCCTCAAGACGAGCTGTAAAGTGTTGCTGGGGAGAGTGATTTCTGTGTTTCTCTCCGGGACCTGCTGCCTCCGCGACCCGACTACGGATAAGCGGAAGAAGATGGATGGAGATGGAGCTTGTTACACAAAACATTGTTCCCATATCTTTCATTGAATCTATGGCAAATACCAAAAATAACAGTCTGACCAACAGGAAATAATATTTTAGCATCTCTCAGGTTCTGTGTCAGATCTTTGCTGGATGTTTTCTTGTTTCTTATATAACGATTAGATCCTGTTCATCAGCTGTAGATCGCCTTACACTTCTTCTTTTGTCTTCAACTCGTCCAGGCCAATCTGCAGACTTGGACTGAAAATGAGTGAAAAAGCATCCAAAGTCCAAAGAAAAGTCTTTGAATACCTTTGGAAAACCTGAAGAACCCTTTATCAAGATGAATATAAAAGATAACCAAACTGTATGTTCTCCCATAAGTACAAAGAAGTTAGAGGTGATTTAAACTCTTTGCATTAAACATTGTACTCTCCATCAGTCAGAGGTGTGACATGCCTCTACAGTAGACAGGCCCAAACCAGTGAGCTTAAAGGAGGGTCTTTTTCATGAGGAGGGGCACACTGATTCAAAGGTCATGACCATGTAGAGAAATGTCCTCATTTCACATACAGGAAACAAAGCTTTAAGACTACCTGGCCTATGTGCTGGGGTTGATTCAATTTAAACACAGGACAAAAAAATGAAAAGTTGATTAAGCAAAAAGGCTTTGGAAGTTAGATTTTCATCAATAAAAATAATTTTTAGCTGATGCAATGATGGATGAGTACGAGCCCACAACAAAGCCCTGTCAGTTCAAGTCACTGTTTCTGTCAACAAAGAAAGACGAAAGTTCACAGGATGTGGCTTTGATTTGCAGAATTACTGCTGGTATTACATGTGTTTATGTCAATTTAGAATGACTTCTGCATACTGAGAAATTGTACAACTAAGTCACCCTGAAAGCAAAATTTTCTCCAAACTGATCAAAAGTTAGACGACACAGATCAGCTGGTTGTAAACCTGTTAAACTGGATGTATAGAAATGACTTTACGTTATTTAAAATATCAAGCGCTGCGACCGCCTGGGACAGCGTTGCTAAATGTCAGCCAAACTTCAGCTACAGATACGAGTCGACATCCAGCACTAAGGCTGGTTTCAGCTCGGCACAACCTTTTTCCTCAGGTGCTCCGACTGCATCCTGCCTGCTGCCGTCTCCGAACACACAATAGGCCTCTGTGTGCACGGCCTGCAGGAATGCTGCGAGATGGCAGGGCAGTGGGATAGCTGCGTGGTGAGGATCGGAGGGGGGTTGGTGTGTGAGGAAGGGTGTGGAGGCTATAAGGATGAAAAAAAAGGAGGAGGAGTGGTGTTGAGAAAAGGGTCTGATCTTGCTACTGTACCAGGCGCACAGAGGCTCCAGGGGTCTACAGGGTGTCCAGGTTTCAGCACAGTGACCATGTTAGAGTGGTGGCCCCAAGGCCTCTGTGTAAACACAAATGGTGATGGGGGGCGGGGGTGGGGTCAGCAGCTACCTGGGGGAGAGCGAAGAACTGATCTGTGAGGTGAAACTGTGTATCCTGGCCTTCATCAATAGTAAATCTGCACAATTTAACAGCCAGAACAGAATATATGAAATAAATAGAGGAATAAAACAGAATTTTTATTTTCAGTCCAGCTCTGTGTTCTTCCTCAGCCCCTCACACTCCTATTTGTCTCTTGATTTTGTCAGTGTCTCTATCTATTGTGCGTCTTTATGTAAGTTGGGTGTGTTTTGCATTGTGTATGTTGGCTTTCTTTAACATATCCAGGTTTGTCTGTGCTTTCTGTAGGCCATTTCCTTGTTAATAAATCCATTTTGTTTTGAGCTCCTTGTGCCCACCTGCTCGTGATAATGATGGCCACTGCACACCTGAAAACAATGTTATGCTAACTGGTTAGTGAACTTTATTATGGAGTTGCTTGATGTTGATATTCACTGAACATCTCAACAACGAAGGAGGTGTTTGTGCTATAAAGATCTCAATAAGACATATTTAAAAATTTATTGTATTGGGCACGGTGGCTTAGTTAATAATGCTGTTGGGTCTCAACGAAAATGCTTCCAGATCAAATTCTGTCTGGAGACCTTTCTGGCATGGGTGGAGCCAGAGGGGTGGCATTGGTGGCTAGTGCCACCCCAGTCACCTGATTGGCCACCCCAGGTGTCACCCCCAAATAATGTACAAGAGGGTGAGGATCTTGAATTTTGTATGTGCATTTAAACTTTGTTAAAGGTTGTTCTTTGATGTACTTTATGACTGGATTATATGTAGCTCATTTTAATATTAGCATAAGTGGTTAGTGATTAGCTTAATTTGGGATTAGCATCAACAATCAGGATGTGATCATTCTTAGCTAATCCACAACAAATTTCATCTCAACAAGTCTTAAAATGGCTGAATTATTGTCTTTTAAAGTGATCTGTGGTGGTTATATTGAATTTTTGATTAGCATTCATAATTTGGTAACAAATATTGTCAGCTACCTCTACACAAATTTTCATCTTTGTGTGTCTAAAAACTGCTGAATAACAAGTTGTGACAAGCATTCAGCATGTTGTTTGGATCGTAGCTGTGCTCACACCTAAATTTCAGCACAATATTTCTTAAAACAGCTGAGTTAAAGCCATTTAGAATTAGCTGTGGGGACCACCTTAAAATTTCAAACCCAGAGAGCATTTATTTATTTGTATGTGCCACAAAAAAAAGAAAAGAAAAGAAAACCTACCTTGGCCACCCCTGTGCCTCCCCTTGCAAAAAAGCCAAGGTCTGCCTCTGCTTAACGGGTGGAGTTTGTCAGCTGTGTGAAGCTGACACCCCACCCACGTCCAAAAATCCATCAAATAGTCTGAATCGTTAGTGCTCCGTTTGTGCCGTTAAAAGTGTCGTTTGTGCAGTTTTGGTTTCCGAGATATTAAATATTATATTTTTTGGTCATCTAGAGTTCACCATCACCCCATATCGCTCCAAAAACAAACCAAAGTGGGCTAGGTCGTTAGTGCTCCGTTTGTGCAGGTTTGTGCAGTAAAAACTGTCGTTTGTGCAGCTTTTGTTTTCCAGATATTAGCAGTTATAATTTCGGCCGATGACGTCACCATTTCGGAGCTTGCTGAGGGGACG